TCATTTCATATGGCCACTTCGACCCTTCATTCTTCCCTGGTTACAGCGATGGTCTTCGTTTCATCAGCTGGTCCCGCCCACCGCGGGATGTGGTGCGTGGCTGGCATAACGTGTGAGATCAGCTAGGTTGATTGCCGTATCAACCGATGGAACGGCTGGCATATCCGGAAAACTCGTTTGGACGTGGCTCTTCCCAAGCAGCCTCCTTCACTGCTAGTGGGAAGGGGGTTTCGTTTTCGGCCTTGTCGACGGTTTTCTTCGTTTTTTCTCCACTGTCGTTCCACTTCGCATCTCTATACTCAGTTTCATCGCCATAATACCCCTTATTGAGCCCGACTTTGCCTTTAAGTCTAAGTGCTTTGTAGTGCTAGCTTCGCTCCTGTAAAATGGCCGCATATTTTCAGCAAAACTTCGAATCGTTCGATTCTCGAGACAGCCTTGAAGAGGAAAGCGGAAGCAAAAAGAAAACGCGACGTAGGAATTCAATTCCGGAGCTGGTTGGCGAGGCGAGGAAATTTATGTTTGGCAGTCTGGCCAAACGGCTTGAGAAGGCCTCCGAAACGAAAACTGGTAAGGATCGTCGAGGGACACTCAAGCAAATCCAAGTGAGTTCGATTGGTTCATGACACATTTGCCTTTAAACACGAACACATTCTACAGATGCCAACCTACGAGCTGCCCGACCTGGAGGAGAATCTTGATGAAGCCTGTGATTCTCCACAGGAACGACGCCATTCCGTCGACACTCCATTGAGCAATAATCCTGGTATGAGAAATGAGAATAATAGGAAAACATTTTAAATACTTATTTATCCAAGCTCTTTTAGCTCTGATAGGCCTTACCAAAATCTAGGTTTCAGTACGTTGTCAACCACTCTTACCTGGTCTAAAGCTTCCGGCACAGTACGCCTGCTTTCCCAAAGAAGTGGCTTTTATTTCTACACCCCACATAGATTCCAATCTGTTCCACAGTAACTCAGTGCCCAAATATGCAGCGTCATTTAATGGTCTAAATCACCTGTATCACCTGTCGTCCCGTTGATCATCGAATTGCTCGAGCGCCAGCAACGTCTCCATTCGTCCCTGTCGCGTGCAAGAGTTGTCCAGTGGACCCTCCTCGCTCGAGGGACACGATGTCCTTCATTCCTTTCGTTCAGAGCTTTCGTGAAGAAGTCTGACCATCGGGCCGGCGGTCGTCCAGGTGTTCGTTTGACGTCCCGAGGGATCCAGTCGGTAACCGCTCTGGTCCAACGGTCATCGCAAAATCGCATGACGTGTCCGGCCCACCTTATCTTCGATTCCTTGGCGAAAACGGCAGCGTCCCTGATCTTCGATCGTTGGCGTAGTTCGGCACTCCGGATTCCCCTCTGCACTTGCGTGTAGGGTTACTCCTAGCATCGTCCTCTCGACAGCGCGTTGGATAACGCTGACCGCATGCTCGTCCTGCCTGCGCAGAGTCCAAGTCTCTGAGGCGTAGGTTAGGGCAGGAAGGACAGCGGAATCGAAGAGGTGGGCACGGAGCCGGATGTTCTTCGTCTTCTTCACTACTCCCTCGATGTTCTTGTACGCTCCCCAAGCCGCTCGTTTCCTCCTGCTCAGCTCTGGAGCTAGATCGTTCATCATATTGATTTCCCGACCTAGGTACACGTAGCTGGAGCATTCGGTGATGTTCGTTCCGTTGAGCGTGAATGGGGCATCAGAAACCAATCCGTTTCTCATAAACATCGTCTTCGTTAGGTTCAGCTGTAGACCAACCTTACCACAGGCGCAGTCGAAATCAGCCAGCATTCGCTCCGCTTGCTCGATGTTCGGCGTTATAAGAACGATGTCGTCAGCAAAACGAAGGTGGTGTAGTTGCCGGCCGTCGACCTTCACTCCCATGTCTTCCCATTCCAGTTGACGCATGACGTTCTCGAGAGCGGCGCTGAAGAGTTTGGGCGAGATGGTGTCGCCCTGTCGGACCCCTCTCTTGACGTCGATGATGACCTCCTTGTAGAATGGTGAGATCCTGGTCGTAAAGTTGCTGTAGAGCTCACGAAGAATCTTGATGTACTGAGTAGGGACGCCCTGGTTGCCCAAGGCTTCGATGACCGCTTCTGTCTCCACAGAGTCGAAGGCCTTCTTCAAGTCGATGAACGTGAGACAAAGCGGCATCTTGTACTCTCGTGAAACTTCAATGAGTCTTGTAACCGTGTGGATATGGTCGATCGTGCTGAACCCTCTTCGAACCCTGCTTGCTCGCATGGCTGTCCTTCATCTAGTATTCTGCCGATCCTGTTAAGGATGACTCGAGTGAATAGCTTGTAGATTACAGACAGCAGGCAGATTGGGCGATAGTTGCCAATGTCGTCCAGGTCTCCCTTCTTGTACAGCAACACGGTCCTGCTGGTTTTCCACGGAGTGGGTACCTTGCATTCCGACAGGTAGCGCGTGAAGAGTCGAGCCAGAGTTTTGATGATGACTGGCGGCGCATTCTTCAGATGTTCCGGTTTGACCCTGTCGAGACCGGGTGCTGTACGATTCTTCACCGACTTGATGGCGTGTCGGACTTCGGAAGAGAGTAACTGAGGGGACGACGTATCCATCCTGTTGCAGTTGATAAGTGGGCAGATGGACATGGCTATCGAAGAGATCCGAGTAGAAGTCGTGGATGACTTTCTCCATTGCCCTTCGGGATGCAGTAACTGTTCCATCCGGACGTCGGAGGCAGGTCATCTTGGTCTTGTAGCTGGCAAAGCTTCGGCGGGCATTGCGGATGCTCCTCCCAGCCTCTGCTTCAGCTAATACTGCTGCTCTTCGCTCCTTGAGATCTTCCTTTATCGCCTCTCTGCATAGCTTCGCAAGCTCGGACGTGAGTCGGTGATTGCCTGCAGCTCGTGCGGCTCCACGCTGGCGTATCAGTTCGAGAGTTTCCGGAGACAGACGTCCCTTGGTGACTTTCAAACTCTCTGCCTTCCTGCCACTCTCGTGAAGGTGTTCAACGAGCCGATGATATTCCTCGTCGATGTTCTCGATAACGGAATCCTCATGATAAGCTGACAAGAGAAGTGAAGTGATCCCAGTTGATGACTGTCCTGGGGCTTCGCTTCCTGAACTTCGAGGCTCTCTCTCAACACGCATCGCCAAATGGCATCTTGTCGCGGCAGCGAGAGATGCCATCCGCCCGGTAGAACTTCGGAACAGCGCGCGTCAGGCAAAACCGTTCGATACTTGAGATTATTGGTCTAAATCTCGTTATGGAACGTCCATAGCTTGCCAGGCTCTGTCGTGTGGGCTAGGATAGACCTCCAGGTAGTTAGCCACGCTATCCTGGAGCGGAACAAGGGGCTTATTTCTTGGAGGCGGCCCGAATCGCCTCCCATGTACTTCCCAGTCACTTGAATGCAAGCTTTTGGCTGTGCCGACATGCAGGATACCAACCGCACACACACAGAGCGCACCACACACGCAAGCATGCATGGATACACCTGTATGGAGAAGCTGGTATGAATCGACACAGCACTACAGAGACAGGGAGTCCATCCCCTGAATCCACCTGCGTCTCAGGGCAAGTACATGGTGGCTTTTGGTCCGCGATTTACCCCCTATCCGCCACCTGGGGTCGCGCCACGTAGCCTCGCCACCAACCGGCTCGAGATCTTTCAGTGAGAGAGGACCCTCAGTGAAAGAGATCCGTGGTCTAATATTGTTTGAATAAGTTTCAATTATTTTTGAACGCACCAATTATTTGGAGAACAATCACAACCTCAACCCTCAAATCTCATCTAAAACATATTGGCGTTGAACCTTGACATCTTAGGCCTTCATGTCAACGAATTGGAATCTTCACTGGTCCGTAGGTGAAAAATAGAGAATTACTTTTAATGCTACTTTTCTCGCCACCCCTATAGGTGCTCCCCCACTTAAAATGAAACCTATCGTAGTAATATACTGACAACATTCAATGAATGATAATTGATGGATGACACGATGTAGTCATGTACCAAGATTGCCGCTTTTCAGAGTTGCTGGTGCTGAACAACTCTACGCCCTCAGTGGAATTCAACACTATTGAGCAGAATCAGGACCTCCACCAGTGGTGGACGATCTGTTCGAGCTTTGAACATCGACTGCGAACCCCTGAGATGGGGTACGCCCTGAGATGGGAAGGCTGGTCATTGCAAGCTTGAGCTGTAAAATGTTCTTGAACGTTAAAAAGTTTCATGCAGGGTATAGTGTACAAATAATAGATCTCAGATTTCTAATAATAAATGCATTTTCCTGAATGTGTTTTGTGTTTACTTTTATTAGCAGTTTGTTATCAGTAAATATCGATTGAAAATCACTGAAAGAAAAAGCCCTTCTCAAAGAACGATACCGTAGTGTTAGTTTCCGCCAATTGTCTCTTGTTCATGTGTGATGATCTTTGGAGGGCTATGGAAGGAGGAAGGAAGTAGTAAGACCCCCTATCCCACTTTGAGATGCGCCACACATTCTGCTCCACGCCGTGTTGTGCTTGGATAGGTATAGCCTATACAGTGACATGCTGCTGCCGGCCAATGAACAAGTCAGTGCTTCCCAGGACAAGGATAGAACGCTTGATCGGTCTGGATGGCATAAGATCCAGCATGCGGTCCAGGGACCGTGCTTGTGGTAATCAGCGCCATTTGATGCTACACCACTTCTGCACGCTCGCCTTCAAAGGAATATTCCACGATAAGAACGAAGGTCAAAGAAGGGGAAATTGCCTAGTTGGGAGACAGGCGGACCTCCTGAGGGTGCTGACCGACGCGCAATTGGCAGCGAAAGATTTGACCTCGGCGATCTAGCATGGCTCACTCTTGGCGCAGTTGGCGCGGTACGCCCACCGATAGCAGAGAGCGTTAGCGTTGAAAAGGGCACACAAAGATGAGAGTCGCATCAATCAACGGACAAGGAGGGGGTCCTCGGGCGCGGGCCACGGGCTGGTGCGCGCTTCTGCTGGCACCGCGCCTAAGCATTATGGTCGGGACAGGTGGATGATGGTGGATGTTTTGTTTATTGTTTTGCTTCGCCTGTTTTATAGTTTTTTCCTGCTTCTTCCATTACTAACATCCTCAATTGATTTGAAACTGGATCTGCTTGGCAACTTAAGTCCGCCTCCAATAATGGTGAAACAGTTGACAGCAGGGACACGAAGCAGTCTTTGCAGGCAAATCTGTAACTACTCATCAAAAGTCTGAAAAAGGTCAGGTTTAAGCGATGGCCGCGCCGGACGTGCGCTAATCATTGACTAGACACACCACGTACCAGGATTGCCACAACAGCCAGCTCTGCACCAGGACCGATAAGACGAGGAAATGGTCACGCCACCACGATCAGCCCCCCTCCCTCCTTCCCACTCCCTTAGCGAGAATTTTCGTACGGCCTCCTTCTACCTTCGTTATATCCACAGTTCGAAGTGAGAAGTAGTAGTTCTAGAAGCGCAAGAAGGAAGTTGCGGTGGATAGCTGCCACGCGCGCTTCGTGGTTCAAATACTGAAGCTAGCTTTGCTTAGCTACATCTCCTTTCACCCTTTCAGCACTGCTCCGAAATTCGTTCAGTAGGACAATGATGTTGAGTCCGACCGATTGGGACCATTCAGTGCCCACCTAGTGTTGCCACAATACTCTATAGATAGTCAGATACGGCTCAACCTAATTATGGCACAGTGTTTACACTTTATGTTCTATCTATCGCCTTACCGGGTCGGCGCCGAGGAGAATACGGACCTCTACTCTAATATGCAGAAAAACGTTTCTCCAAGGATGCTGAATTATTCAAAGTTCGCTACGTCAGCCGTCCATACCATTCACTTGTTTTCTTCACCTACAAACAATTCCTTTTTTTTAAGTGAAATTGTCCCCTCCTCCTCATCGCGAGGACTCACTTTGATTACCCTAAAAAAAAAAAGAGCCTAATACAGTCAGGTTTGTCGGTCGTGATTTCAATCACAAACAGGTCTTGATCGCCTCACGGCTGTTCTTGTGGTCTCGACAACTGGACTGTATTACGGCTCTGAAGAAGGCGATCCTCGCCGAAACGTAAGCCAAATAAAAGTTGTTTGCCAACCTCGTGAGGAGCTTCAAAGAAGATATCAACAAGCTGCAATATGCCGAGGTTCATCCAAAGCCGTACGTGGAGTCCTCTAGAAGACTTACCCAATCCACATGCTCGGGACCCGGAATCGTAATAACTTTACCCATTCTCATGTTCATTCAGCAAAACCGCAGAAATGCCAGAAATGTCAATCCTTCACCAGCTCTACTTGATCAATAACGCCTTAACACTAACAAGTAAGACCACGACAACGTGCTTTGGTAGCTGTTTTCGTAAGATAGAACTGTTTCCGGTTGCTATCACCGAATCAATAGAAAACATTCGAGTGTGCATCAATTCTCACTCATTTCTAGTGGACGAATGGTATGGGCTGTGGGTGGTGCTGTAAGTTTTCTGATATGTGGGCACCCGACCAGGACCAAAATTATTTCGCTTCTAATATTCAGCGGTGCCCTCAAAAAAAAAAAAAAAAAAAAAAAAAAAAAAAAAAAAAAAAAAAAAAAAAAAAAAAAAAAAAAAAAAAAAAAAAAAAAAAAAAAAAAAAAAAAAAAAAAAAAAAAAAAAAAAAAAAAAAAAAAAAAAAAAAAAAAAAAAAAAAAAAAAAAAAAAAAAAAAAAAAAAAAAAAAAAAAAAAAAAAAAAAAAAAAAAAAAAAAAAAAAGAAAAAAAAAAAAAAAAAAAAAAAAAAAAAAAAAAAAAAAAAAAAAAAAAAAAAAAAAAAAAAAAAAAAAAAAAAAAAAAAAAAAAAAAAAAAAAAAAAAAAAAAAAAAAAAAAAAAAAAAAAAAAAAAAAAAAAAAAGCTGTGAACCGCACGTGGAGTTCGCCTACAAGGTCGGTGTTTCTCCCGGAAAATTCCCAAATCAGGATGATCTAATAAGATTCCAGATAAGTTTCGACTGTAGAGGATTCGGACTACACGATATGGCTTTGCTCAACAAGCATCATGATGAGACTGGAGCCGTTGCACCATGCTGTTTTCGTTCGTTCATATTTGAAGTGTTAGGCTAAAATGTCAGCTCGGTCAAGTGGAATCTTCTAAAGTATTTAAAGGCAAAATGAGATGATAATGCCTTCTAGATACTTTGCCAGATTCTGAGCTGGGCGCTCATGCCCTTAGGGGAGCACTGAAGTGAGTGAGCCACTGATAAACTCAGGACTAAGCTTTAGGGAGGGGAAAGGATTGTGAGCAACCATTGTTCTCCCTTGTGTTTAATTCCCAGTCCTGGGCTTAGTCCTAGTGTCACCTACCAGCGATTTTTGAATGCCCTGTGTTTTCGGTGAATTCCCCCCCCCCCCCCCCCCCCCCCTCCCTAAGGACATGAGCCCCTAAGCTGAATTCGAAGGCCCGCTTCAACCACGTCCTCTTGGCGCCGGATTTGCAGCTCTTACAAAACCTCAGCCAGGCCGGGCCTTTCAAACCCTAATCAGGAATTCCCAGGTGCTTCCAATCGTTGGTTGATGTGATAGATGGCTTTGAAATATACGGACTAGTTCGAAGGTCATCCTTCACCTCAGTCAACGACCGCACGACCCCGCCACGGTGCCGAATTTACCCACTCGACATCATGATGCGACGTGTACAATCCTTCTATTATATAAATCGCCAACTTGGTGTGTCTAGTGTGTGAGTGTGTGTGTGTATGTGTGTATGTAAGTATGTATGTCCGTCTGTCCGTCCGCAAAATGAAGTGAGTGAGAAGGAAGCTCATGGATAAACAAACCGCTAACAAATCGGGTAGCTTACAGGATTTGAGATATCAATGTTTTGTAGCAGGATAGTTGTGATAACACTCTTAGGGCTATATAAACACCTGCTTAGCACACTTCCGTTCATTCCACATGGTGCTGCAGTGGCAGCTGGAGGGCAGTGGAGAGAGGAAGGGAGGATGAGGAGGGGAAGGCGGAATCTATCGCCATGTCATGATCGTGGCGATGCCCTCTACTATATGAACTCCTTTTGCTGCATGCGCGTCACCTCCTGGGGGTGTTGGTGTCATAGGTAGAAGAGACCACAGAGGAAGACGTAAAGCTTGCGCAGGAGAGTAAGGTCCCGGCGGTTGACGGGGGATTAATCTGGTCAAATAAATAACCCCAGACTGGCAATGTATTATACCTTCTCTTCATTATATGAACCACAGCCTTAGTACATAGGTTTGTTCAGGCCAGGCCCAGCGTGATTGTATGTATGATACTCCATATCTCGAAAGTTGGCATTAGGGGCTGGTTGCGTGTGAGCGTGAGCGGCCACCGCAACTCATAGAAGTGCCCGCGATAAGCTCATCAGGGACGGTAGCAAACCTTCATTAATTCAGACTTAACGTGTCGAGATTAGCTCAGACCAAAGTCAGTTTAGATAACTGGTTCAGAGCGCTTCTCACACACATTAAGTCTTGTTTAACCTACAGTTAGATCATAACCAAAAAAACCAATTTGACTTGAAGTTAGACAGTTAACTTGTAAACCTAATTCCTAACTAATCAGAGAAAAAAAATACTGTGGGGTTGAGGAGACGCAGAGGCCACGTTGATCCTTCACTAAAAAGTACTCCGAAGCACTTTTTACTGGAGGGTCATACGTGTCAGACGTGGTGACTGCGCCTCCTCAATCCCGTGCTCTTTTTTCTTCTCTGACCAGCTCAACCTGTTAGGAATCAAAGAATGCAGCTGCGATCCATAATCTTCAGGTACTTTTGCAACCTTTTTTTTCTTATTTATTCGTTTCCTGATATTTTGTCGTCTGAAATCTAAAGTAGGAAGCTCTTGCTTGATCTGGGCTGGATCGCACTCTCCATTCTTTATTCTTTGCTTAGAATCTCCGATCGTTACTTCTGATTGCGAGTTAAGGGTACTTTGCTACCGTCCCTGATGCATTTTACTGTGACATGCAGCGGATACGTTATGAAGCCAGCTTAACCACAGGGCTTCTATTAAGTGCGACCACGGCCACGTCAAATCACTGACATGCCTAATCTAACTTCGAGATGTCGGACTGTAAGTTTGTCTGTCTGTCCGTCCGCAAAATGAAGTGAGTGATAAGGCGGCTAATGGAATAAACAGGCCGCTAACAAATCTGGGTAGCTCGCAGGGCTTGCCCTGTCAATGTTTTGCAATGG